CCTCTAGTCGTATAGACTATCCCTAGGTGTTAATATCGCTTCGCGGTTAAGGCACTTTTATCGCTAGTTAGGATTTCCGCTAGGATTAGACCTATCGGTTATATATACGCTGCCTTTTATAGGCTTAATCTTATTAGCTACCCTCTTATATAGAGTATATATACTAACCGCTCGTAATACCCGAGCTCTCTCTCTTTAACGTTAGGCCCGGAGATTAGCGCAATAGAATAGCGCGTAAACTTCATTAAAAGTCTCCTTTAGTCGGTAGGTATGTAGCTAGTAATCCTAATTTATAATTCCGGCGAAAACGTTAGATTCCTAATAACACCCCCGGGGTAGTATTAGCTCGGCGTTCTAATTAGTTAGTTCGGATTCGGGTAGATCCGCTTCCGGCGGCGATGCCTACGATAGCATTATTACCGAGATTCGTGTACTAGGTAGTCGTTACACTATTATGCTCGCTATCGCTTCGAGCATTCGTCTCCTTAGTATAGAGCCTAGAAACTAGCCTTGTCGTACGGAGCGGCGTACCTCTAGATATAACCTATTTAAGCTACATTAACTTATAGCGCAGATTGCCGGTCTTATAACCGCGCTATAGCGTTTCCCGAAGAGCGCTTAGAAGCAGTAAGGATATCCTCGTAGGACTTGCAGCTAGTGTTTCCGATATAACTAGTAAATACAACTCGGTTGCCCTTCTAGTTAGCGATAGTTCCTTCCTAGGAGCTATCGTCGCAGTTGCGCTAGATATCCTAGGTTATGCGAGACTATAGTCGACCTAGAATAATTGGCGTATTCGGGTTAGCGGCAATCTAGAAGGTAAAGGAAAAGCATATACCGAAAGCGTCTACTATAACATTATAGTAGGCACCTACTAGCGCAACCTCCCTATTTACTCCCTATATACTAAGGGAAATATCTCTATTTATTAGCAGTCGGAGCTGTTTAGCCTAGCGCTCACTTATAATAAGTAACTCTAAACCGTTATTAAGCATTGCTAGCAACTGCTAACTATAGCTTCCGATAGTAACTTAAATATAGATAGCGGGAACGACGGTAAAGGAACGGGTAACTGCGGAAAGGTCTATATTATTAGGGATAGAGTAAAGTTCCTTAGGTCGAGGAGGTCCTACTCGACCGATTTGTTAGCCTATAAATCGGACAGCCTTAATAGAAACTAAAACCGAAGTAGAGTCGGCATTATTATTATCCCCTCGGCCTATCTCCTTAATCCCCTCTTCGTTAGCATTATCGATAGTCTCCTAGCTCTCGTAGGTTACTAATTCGCCTTCTACTAACTCCTAGGCCCCTAAAAATTTAGGAAGGAACTATAGGGAAGAGACGTCGATATAGTCCTCCCGCCCCTATTTACGTCGGAGGGCTATAAGGTCTTTTATAAAGGTAGCATCGTTAGGAATCCGGCTCTAGAACAGGTTAGTAGGCAAACCGTATACTAGAAGCTCCCCTATAAACACGTTAGACTTAAGGTCTAGGAACTATAAAGCCTAGAAGAGAGCATTTGCCTTTATGTCGTAAGAGTTAGTAGGCCCGGCACTATACTTCTTTATATACCTATTAAAGCGAAAGCTCTTTAGGTCGGCTAACTTTCGCTTATAGGCCGGCGGGTTAGCTAGGCCTAGGGTACTACTAAGGTCGGTAGTAGCATCCTCTATATCGATATCTAGAGTTTCTAGTACCTCCGGAGTAGCTATACTAGCTCGGGTTGCACGGTCTTTAGCTGTCTAGAGTGTTTTGGTTTTAGCGACTAATTCTCGCTGTTTCTTAGCCTTATTAGCTGCCTGCTTCTTAAGTATCCTAGTAGGGGCTGCCGTACTAGGGCGGGTAGGGTTCTGCGGGCTCTTACCCTTGCCCTAGGACTAGGTTTAGGACCTTGTAGCAGCGTAGACATCTGTACTGTTCTTAGTAACCGCGTAAATATTAGTAACTGCGTCCGGGTCCTAAGACATAAAGTTGACTTTAATAGGCTTAGTAGTACTATTACTGCTCCGCTCCTTAACCTGTTTTGCCCTAACCTTCTAAGTTTCTCGTTTAGCAATAGCGGCGAGGGTACTATTCCTAGTATCCTTAAACTCGATCTTACTACTATACTTCTTCTCTAGAAGACTCCTAAGTTAGGGTAGCTTCGGAGCTCTACGATCCTACTCGAAGTCAATCTTGTCGCCGGTATCGGTATAGTAGAACCGACTATTTACTTATATAACGAGCTTCCTCTTAAGAAGCTCCTTCTAGATAGGGTAGTCTAATTGAATATATTTGAAACCGCCGTATATCTAGCACTTGCTATCTAAGTTAGAATGGATCTTCCGTATAGCGTAGACGTTAACTAAAGGGGCCTTAGGGTAGTTAGGATCGGAGACCTAGTAGACTAGTAGTATATTCTTTAGTATACTAGCACTAAGGACCTCCCTAACTCGCTATAGTGCTTTCGTATTAAAGTTAAGCTAGGCTAGGGATTCAGCCAAGTCCGTAACGTCCTAAGAATACTTAGTAACGGTAGGAGTTACGGTACTAGGACTACTTTGCGATTTAGGAAGAAACTTAGGCCCTCTAGTTCCCGAGGTATCGTTTCTTACCTAGGCTAGGTTATTCCGGTCCTCGCCGTAAATAAACTTCTTTGCATCGGCGGAGCTATTAATATCGTCCTTAATAGCCTCTAGGACCTCTTTATACTTCCTAAAGGTCTTAGGATTGGCTTCGCTAAGCTTGTAGCGACGGAAGACACGCTTAGCTATAGACTACAGCAACCCTTTAAGGAGCAGCCTCGTTCTCTAAGAATTCTCGAGGTCCTACTAGTCGATACCGTCCGCTAACTTAACAAACTCGCGGACGTACTCCTTTAGGTCGTTATCTTCGGTACGCCTCTCTATATAGAGGTTCTTAAGCTACGTACGACTGCCTTTAATGCGACGGCTATCGCGATCCCGATACTCCCTTATAAAGGCCTACTTAAAGACCTCCTAGTCGGCATTAGACTTGTCGTCCTTTTCTAGGTAGCTAACTAGGGTTCTAAGGGTTCGGTAAAGCTTAGTAATAGTAGTCCTCGTAAGGGACCGGACCTTGTACTAGTCCGACTCCTCTTCGAGTCCGTACTCGGCTAAGTTGTCCTTAAAGCGTTCTACGTACGCCGTAGCGTTCTACCCTTCGAATAAAGGGTTCCTACTGCTTCCTAGCTCTAGCGGGCGACGCCTGTTCTAACGGAGAAGGTTAGTTTGCCCTTAAATTATCTTTATAACGACATTATAGAGGGCCTCGGGCGTAGAAGGCTCGATAGCCCCTAGTTCGACGGCGCTTATAATAACTAGTCGTCGCCTAATTTCTTCGTTAATAGGGTCCGGTAGGTTATTAGATTCCGAAGATTCCGCTAATTCGTAATGCTCGCTTCCGCTAGAGCTTATTCGATTGTTATAAAGTAGTTAAAATGAAGTGCTATAAGAAAGTGTTTTTAGTATATATTATAGGTTTAGTTTGTCTCGATATTGCTATACGAGAAAATAGTGTACTAGGCTGTTTTCTTCTAATATTACCCCTAGGGTAGTATTAGAGTTTAGCCTCCTAGGGGTCGCCTATACACCCCTAGGAGCTAAGTTTAGTATTAGACGAAAGCCGCTCGGAGGGAGAGACTACAATCTCTATTTATACCTAGATCCTAGAAACTAGCTCGTATCTCCTTTAGCTAGGCGGGGGGGCGGGGACCTTCTTTCTCTAGTAGAAGGCTAAGTACTGTCCGAACGAGGCAGCGAATCCCGAAACAGTCTACCCGGTTAATAGGGGAACTGTCTAGGCATCCGACCTATAATCTAGAAATTGCTATCGTATAGATAGTCTTAGCAAACTAAGCAAGGCCGATAGGTAATTAGTCTATCTCCTCCTTAGGCGGGGCTTATCTCGAGTAAGCGGTACTAAATAGGTCTTCGACCCGGAGCCGAGTCCTTAGAAGCTAGCTATAGTTATAGACTAAGCCCTAAGCTATAATAGTCCTAAGGGTTTGTAGCTTTTCGGGGTTAAAGCGATGCCCTCGTTAAGAGGTTTCTCTACTTATCGTAACGGCCCCTTAAGATACTTCGGTATCGTCCGTATCGTAGGCTCTTATCGTACCCTCGCTTCGGTTATAGCTATTCGTACCTAGAGACTACCTTTAACATATCCGAACCTATTAGATATAAAGAGATAGCCCTACCTTCGGCTCTAATAAAGGACGGAAACTAACACTACTACTACTACTTATAGCAATAGTATAGGCTACCGAGGGTAATATAACCTATAGCAATATAGGTAGCTATGTTTAGCAAGATAGGATAACGAGACTGTCGCTTAGGCTAATAACTAGAGCCCTACAATATAGGCATTATAGAAGTGTAATATAAACAATATGCTATACGAGGTTGATAATCTATCTATAATGCAGAAGGAGGCCTCTTATATAGGCTTAAAACTGGCCTATAGGTATAGGGCCGGTTACTAGCTAATAATATCTACCTATTCTATATACTATCCTCTAACTCCCTCCCCTACTCCCTAGTAATATCCTTCTATCTACTACCTGCGTACCTAGTTAGAAGATATTTAGAGTATACTACTTAGAGTATAATTCTCTTTGCCGCTTTTCTATATACTTAGTAAGGCTTTATAAATATAGAAATTAATAAAAATGGTATAATGCTATGCAGGTAATTACTGTGCCAATGTTTACCATCCGAGTAATTACTATGCTAATGTCTATGCCAATGTACTAGAATATTCCCATTTGAGAAATGCTAGCCAATGTTGCCAATCCGATCCCATCCGAGTAATTACCATGCCAATGTGTCCCATTTGAGTATTTACCCGCAAGGCTCTGCACAGCGCCCGCCTTCGCGGTGGAGCACAAGTTCGCTTCCAGCATCACATCTGCTCGCTCTTTGCCCATTTCCGACTGGCCGACGCCTAATACGCAGCTTTGTGGACGATGTCCGCGTGTACGTCGCGAGAAGAGCGCGCTGATGGAAGCGGCGGTGCGATGGTCGCCGTTCTCGACCGGCGATAGAGAGAAATTCCTCCTTGTTGATGTTACCGATCAAAGCATCACCTTGAACGAAATCGACCATCGGAACAATGAACGCATCAAATTCCACGCGGTTGCCAAGTATGGTAGACTGCCGAACTTCGGCGCCTTTGACTGGTCGAAGACGGACGAGGAGATCGTGGCCTTGGGTTTGGTCTCTGGCAGTGCGTGTCTTATCAGGCTCAGCGAAGACGCCAGACCATCTGAGACTGTCGCCAACTTCAAGCTGAAGCAGCAGCGCAAATGTAACTCGATTGCACTCAGCACACAAAATTGGCTGGCGGTGGCATTGGACAAGACTCGTTCCGACAATTGTCTGAATATCTACGACGGCACGATCGATTCATCAAGCCAGGAACCCGTCAGAAGGCTGTGTCCAGCTGAAGTCGTATCAAGTGTCCGCTTTTTCCCAGGACAGCCACAAGAGCTTATTGTGGCTGCTCAGCGATCGTACATCCGGCTTTATGACCTGCGAGATGGCTATTTTGGTAGCAACAGCACTGCACAAGTGAGCACGCGAAATGTCAACAATATCGCTATTGACCCTTTGGATGAGAACTGCTTCGCTACTGCTGGGTCCACAGGAGAATCCTCGGTGACGGTATGGGACAAGCGCTGGATTTCGCAGAATGGCTCAGGTGGCGGAGGAGCGCTTTTCGAATTTCAGCCTGCCGTGGACAATTCTCAGCCTGCCACTGTATGGAGTCTACGTTACTCGGGTCAACGGCGAGGTCGACTCGCTATCTGCTCAAGTCGTGGTGAATTGAAGGTCATAGATATGGTTGAAGGTCACACTTCTTTGCTTCGAGGATCAGAATATTTTCCCACAAGTCAGCACATAGGCACGCTTTGGACGCAAAATCGATACGTAACACAGTCGAGAAATGTGCAACGACCGTCCCATGACGCAAAAGATGCGGCGGACAGTGCTCGGTTGATAGCCTTTGACTGGATCCTTGGGGGTGCAGAAGACTCAGAGCAGAAGGTGCTTGCGCTGCGCCCGAATAGAGGCGTTGCCCAGCTGCGTGTGCCATTCACGGTGCAGCACGCAACCGTGACACCGAGACATGATTTGAGCCTGGCCTTTGACAGCGTGTCGATTCTGGAAGCAAAGTCGCCTGTGGACTACTCAAGACCCCAAGCGCCGTACGAACAGCAGCGCACTGCAGAAGATTTTGGCCCTCTGGATTACAATGGCGAGCTCCAGAATGGCAGAGGCGAAGACGAGAAATTCACCTGCGACTTGGGCTCGCCACAGCTCGCGGGCATGCTTTCTACATCAAGCATCCAACGTGAACGATGCCGCCGCGGCTACCTATTCGACTGCCTCCTAAACAAGAGCATTGTGAGCGGCAACTGGCAACTCGAGCAGCTGTGGGACATCATCGATCGTTTCCGTTTGCAAGCTGCCAATGGTGGCATGATAGCTGAGCACCAGAGACTTGATCTTAGTTTCGTGGGTGTAGGGGCCGTGTGCACCGAGAAGATTGAAAATAATACAAATCGCTCCCTCTCTCCCTTGTCTGGCAAGGTTGGGGATGCAATAGCAGATCTTGCAGCGTCGAGAAATCTACCTCAATTCAGCGGCGAGAGAACAAACTTTCCAGATCATCGACAGCTTTGTCTTGAGATGTGTGGCTGGAAGTACACCGTGGAAACCTTGGAAGAAGAGTGCCAGGAACTCATCGACCGTGGTCTTTACTACCGAGCCATCGTCCAAGCGGTACTGCATGACTACAAGCACGTGGCCCTCAATATGCTTCGCTCCTTAATTCGCAGCAAAACGGTACCCAACATCGGCCTTGGTGCGCTGCTTGCCTCGGACACTATTAATGAGGATCAGAGAGAGATGTGCCAGTGGATGGCTGCAGACACTGACGATCCAGCCTTGAAAGCCTTGCTCACTTTCCTTCTGACAGGTAACTGGCGCGATGTGATGAAAACAAATTATTTACATCTCGGTTATCGTGTAGCACTGGGATTGAAGTATCTCAACGATACAGAGCTTCGAGGATTCATTCAAAGTGAGACTGCCAGGGCTATTAAGAATGGAGACTTGGAAGGAGTGCTGTTGACCGGCCTCGGCGAACAAGCTATGGATTTGTTCCAATCCTACTTGACTCGAACGAACGACTTGCAGACAGCCGTCTTGGCGACCGCGTTCACGAATCCTGCGTATGTGGACGATGTGCGTTGGGACATGTGGAAGGAAACATATTGGATGCAAATGCAAAGCGTAAGTGTTGGCTCATGCATAGGATTAGGAACACTTGCTGACTCGTGCACTTCTCCGCAATAGTGGCAGGCCTTCACGCATCGAAGTCAATTCATCGTGCAGCATAGTCTCATGGCAAGGACTCCAGAAGGGCGCAGTCTGCTTCAAGTCCCACGGGCAAGCGTTACTCTGCAGTGTAGTCACTGTCAGCTCGCACTGACCAAATATGATGGCCGGAACAGCTCACCCCGAATCTCAACCCCTCCCTCCGTCGCCAAGGGCACTGCTGCGATTGCAGCGGGCATCGTTTGTCCCAAGTGTGGAAGACATATGCCTCGTTGTGGAATATGCAAGAAGTGGCTCGGCACACCAGATCCAAATCGTCGTGGGGGAGCGAAGGAGTTGCAGAAGCTCAATGAGATGATGGCAAAATTCTTGACATTCTGTGTAAGCTGTGAGCATGGCTTCCATGCAGACCATGCGATGCTGTGGTTCAAGAAGCACGAGAAGTGCCCGGTGCCAGGTTGCGATTGCTTATGCACAGTCAAATAGATTTGGAGCAATCCATGATATCAATCTCGAGAGTGTTTGACCACACTGATTTGCCGGCTCGAAGAAATAGTTAGAGATCAATGTAAATTGTGCAAGCTACACAAGTCCACGCGAGTGCGTGGCGTACATGTAGCGTAGCGTGTAGGCGTAGGCGAGCGTGTAGGCGGATAAGGACTCGAGGAGCAAGGTGCGTTTACATCACCACGATCCCCTGTGATAGGGAGGCCCATACATACCAGATTGTCAATGGAGGTTCTCACCGCCTCCTCTACTAGCCTACCTCTACGACCAACTTTCTATGTTTGCCCTCGTACTATACTCGCTGTTGACTCGTAAAATGCCTCTACGTATCGATCTCTCGCTATAGAGGGCTTAGATAACCTTATAAGTCAATAGCGGTACTATATAAGGCGAAATCCTATAGTAACTTATATAAGAGACTAGTTACTAGATAGCTCTTTCTACGCTTTGTCGGAGGCTTAAGGAATAGGGGGTTAATTATAGCTATTACGCTTACTATAACCGAGTTAATAATATCGAGGTACTAAAGATCCGAGTCGTATATACCTTCTCCGCTTTACGCTTAACTAATAAAGAAGCGGTTAAAGTACTAAAGATAGATAGATTTAATATTAGCTAGCAGAGATATTAACAGATACGTTAAGAGCTTAGATTAAAGAAGGCATTATCGCGAGATAGATAGATAGAAGCGGAAGAGGAGATAGTAGAGGTCTTATAGGAAGAGCTCGAGAAGTCTATAGTAGAGTCCTTCGGCCGACGGCACCTATATACCTATATTAGGTCTAAATACAATATTATTAGTAGAGATCGGCTATATCGTATAGCTTGCTTACTAAATCCTAAAGGGTTGCGAGTCCGCCGCGAGCGGGCGCGAGAGCACTATAGAGCGATTGTTATACTAGGCCCTAGCTACGCAATATTAATAGATGCTTACTATAAATTCGAGTATTAGGGGATACAGATCTACGTAGCTATTAATGTCTACTCGCGTTATATTATCTAGGTCTACGTAGGGATTACTAGCCGTATAGCTATATCCGTACTCGCTTAATATATTGCAACGATTAAGAATAGTAGTGTAATGCTATAGATTATCCGATTAGACCGTAGGGCGGAAACGATTCTAGCTGCGGACGCTTACTATACGACTCGCCTTGCGACTCGCCTTACGACTCGTAGTAACCCGGATCCGGAACTAGAACTAGAACTACTAGCTTTCGAAGACTGCTTTAAATACAGTACGAGCAAGATAAACTAGCGGATCGAGGTATAGTAGCGCTAGCAAGCACCCGCATTAAATAGCTAGAGGGGCTATTTTTACGAGTTGCTACGCGAGTTACTATACGATACTAAATTGCTAGCCGATCGGATTGCCTTCCTTGCAGTCTATATACTAATTATACGCTATAAAGTCCTCGAATTTGTTTACCTCTAGAATAGCTATCGGATTAGGAAGCAGGCTAATCGACTATACGTCGTACTAGGTATTCCGTATATTCTATACTATTATCTAGAGCTAAGCGGGCATTCTTATTAAGGTATTCCTATGCCTAATAGCGTACTTGATAATATAGAGCAAGACCTTTAAGGATTCGGTATATATTAGATTCTATAGTACTCGCTATAGACTCGCTATAGACTCGCTAATAGACTCGCTAATTCCTAGATCTTAAAGCCTACCTGCCCGAGGCTACGCTTACTTAGTGTTAGATAGCATTGTAGACTCGCGGCTTCTCGTATCTAGTTAGTAGTAGCGAGAATAATAGCGATAGAGAGCGAGTTTACCGCTAGGTATACTTACTTCTTCGACAGCTAATTGCCGAGCATATAGCTACAGGGTTAGGGCCTAAACTAATAGAGTTAGACAAGCTATTAGCAGCTCGTAATTAGACGTTAGGTAGGGCGAATACCGGGGCTAGATTGATTAAGTTTGCAAATAATATATACTAATCTAAAATAAGGGATTTGCGAGCCGGCCGCGAGCCGGCCGCGAGTCGCTTATTTCAGTTCTATTTCCTTCTTAATCTTTTAATTCCTATCTTGTTCTACCTCTATACTACTACTATAGTTCTACCTTAGTTCTACTACTAACAATGCCTGTCTAGGGTACCTTTTGTACTATTACCGGCGCTAACTATGTAATACTATTAAAAGTATACGCATTCTATAACTAATATAGTCTTAAGAACCCTAATCTACTAACCGAGCGATTTATACGCGAGCCGTTAGTAGTAGCCGTAGCTACTGCCGCTGCTGCTACTACGAGTTTAACTACGAGTACGGTACGAGGCTTTAATGCGTTCCCTTCTCTACCTAAGGCGGCGAATACTATACGCAATGCTGCTATTTAGTAGTATAAGCTAACTTCTCGACTAAATACTAGATCTCGGAGCCTCTCGCAACGTCTACTAATACCTATACAACTATTAAAGGAGCTAACAAAGGTATTATTTACCTGCCGCTATTTAGTTTTTAGCTAGCGAGTAGAGGTTTCTCGTAGGGGTAGAGTCGACCTATAGGAATATAATCCGCTAGTCCTATAGACTTCTATTACTAATATCTAGTCTAATAAAGACTTCGAAGAAGCTAATATATTACTTATAGACTAGGTTCTTAGTCGGATTGACGCTAAGGACCTACCGTAAGGTAGCGTCTATTAGGTTAACGACTATGCGGACTACTTCTTCTATACTAATGTTATAGTAGGCACGGAACGCCGGGCCTGTATATACTTCCGTAGGACCGTAGATACTCTTACTAATACTATACTATTGCCTAACTACTAATCGTCCCTCGCGTAACAATTAGTAGCTTCGCTTTAGTTAGATCTAGATCCGTTTGAATAGTACCTAAGTACTAGACGAACGGGCACCTTAAAAAACTAAGAAACGCGACCGCGAGGTCCTATACTAGCGGTACCGACCTACCTACCTAACTATAATAACTACCTACGCTCGATATAGATACGATTACGATAGTCCTCTAAATTCCGTATATTATCTTCCGCATATATATAGCTATATACCGATAGCCCTCTAATCGACGGCGCCCTATAGCCCTCTAATCGCTAGACTAGGCGGCCCGCCTTCCTTATCTAGGTTTGTTTACCCTATACTAGCACCTACCGAAGCGGGCACCGGTCGAGGCAAGAGCCTATAAGTACCCTAACAGTTTCCCGACTTTAGTCTAGTTCCTTAACTCTATACTTATCCTACATTTTTATAAGATTACCGAGCCTACGCTTATTCTACAAATACGCTAGCTTCCGTACGCCCCGATTTAGACGCCTACTCGTTAAACATCGCTTTTTGCTTTAAGGAGTTCTTAGCTAACGCCGGTTACGCTAAGTTAGTGCACTAGAAGTAAAGAGACCCGCTTATAGCAATCGTTACGAAAATTACTACGTATTATTAGCCCCTAGAAGAATATATACTACGAAAACTCTCGGATACTAGAGGCGGTACTACCCTCGGTTTCCCTTAGGATTAGGCAGTTAACCGCTCTTTAGTTACGGTAGCAGCGAAGACGCTACTTGCTCTCCGTAACGAACTTGCAGTTTTAGATACGATAGGACCTAACGACTTAGCGGCTCCTACTCCGGAACTAGCACTACCCTTACTAGATATAGTAGTGCCTGCAAGTCTAAGTCCGGATACTAGCCTATAGCTACGTCGCCGTCGGACTATTTTAGTAGCTAGTATACGACGTGTTACGTATGTACGTTATAGGTCCTTACCGATTGTGTTCCCCCTAGGCCTACGAGAACTTAGTGCCTTAGAGCTATCGGTCCCGAGCAGTCCTAATCTGTCCTCGCCGGTTTTAGTCGGCCCTAAGTAGTAGAGTCCTAAACAGTAGGGTCCTAAGTAACACGGTCCTAAGCCCGAGTACTAGGATACGGAGCAGCAGAGTCCTAATTAGTAAGCTCCGGAGCAATAGAGCCCTAAGCCCGAGTAGTAGGAGCTTCCGGCTACGAGCAGTCTAGAGTCCCTTTTATTAGGTACTAAGCCTTACTAAGAGTCCTCTCTATTAGGTCCTAAGCTTTAGTATCGAGGTCCCGAGATATAGTAGCAAGGGCCCCGACAATAAGAGCCGTTAATCCTACCCGCTTCTACTAAAGATATAGCCGACATGTCCTAAAATATAAACCTAGAATTCTAGCGTACGGACTTAGTATACGTAGAACCTAGTATCGAGCGAGACCTACCTTCTCGATAGTAGATATAGCGCTGTAATAGGTTAGTCGACGCTTTCCTAGGCACAGAGGCTAGGCGTCTAGTCGCGGACCGCTAGCGTATACGCAATGCTAGCGCGGGACTATCCTCCTAAAACTAGCGAAACGGCAAGTAGCTAGCTTACGACAATCCCTAGCCTTAACGCCTACGAGAAGGCGCGCTACGCGAAGTTCTAGTATACGAGAACTAGAACGCCGCTAGCGCTAACGCGGCCGCTAAAGACGCTAACGGCGAAATCCTAAACGCCGCTAACCTAGCCGTTCTATGTAATAAGATACGCTAGCTATTTAGACAACTGTCAAATTAACAAGTTATCTAAATATAGTAACTTAGGGATAAAATTAGGGACGAGATCGACTAGTTACGCTAGAGCATCCCTTCGAGCTTAGTATAAGACAGGCTAGACACTAGAAGAGCTAAGCGCCTCGCGCGTACAGGTTTGAATAAATAGGTTCTGTATAAACAAGTTCTATTAGCCCTACTACCTAACCTAGTCGAGGCCTAGCCTTATTAGTTACGCTATAACGTAACACGCAACGCCGAGGCTAGACAACGCCGCTATAGCTAAGGCGGTGCGGCTAGCGGAGGGCCTCTAAGCCCGAGTCTAGGTAATTCTAGTACCTAAGGCGGGAACTTTAGCCCTCGAGGTTACCGCTTTAACCCGTACTATATCGATAACTTTTAGTTTAGCCGCTTACCCTATTATAGCCCGTAGCGTTCTTAGCGCTTAGAGAGGTTCGACCCGAT